CTCCCAGCTGGCGAATACAATTGACATATAAGTGGGCTGGTGACCCGTTTGCAAACTCGTCCATTGAGCATCTTTCTGCACATGCCTAAGAATATACAGTAACGCTATTCTTTAACCCAAATGTCTTGAACCCTGCTGTTCACAATTTTCCCTTTTCCTTTTCAAAGTGATTATAACAGGAATGACGTATTGCTGAGCAAGTACGGACGTCTAATGCAACATAAAACCCAGAATAACACGTATAGAGTATAGTACTGACAATTCGAACCTCGATTTTCCGGGGAGCAGCTTCTAATTAACCGTAACATATAATTATCCAAAACTGCATGTTGAACTCAATATGAATTTCAAATTGTAGCTCTCGGCACACTGAACACCATGCAGGTGTTGTCCCTGCCCTTTTGGCACGTGTGTGCCCCTTTTGGCACATGTGTGCGGACCGCGCGCGGACTGCGCAGGTTGCGCATGCTTGCATGATTATCGTACATGTTCTTGTTGTTGTGCGCATGCTTGCATACTGATCGTACGCATTCTGGTTGCTTTGGGTGCCTTCTTCTTGAGACTCTCTTTGGAGCAACAACAATAATCTGTTCTCTGAGTGTGGCGTGCGTGTGATATAAGAGATATCGAGAGTAATCGGAAGGGCTATCGTCGAGGCATAAAACCCCCCGACGACACAGGGACATTGTATTGTCTGAGATGTGTGTTAAGCATGAGCTCCAAAACAAAACACAGTTGAACCAGGTACCCTACAGATCACACATGAAGTGTCGATCAAGAATCAAAATGCACTCTGACGTTTCAAACCTAGTCCAAGTGATGCACAGATATTGTGTAGAACACTTTCTTCCCCGTTAAGTTCAAGTTATCATATCATGGGTTTCGTTCACTTAGTCGCCGAGTGGATCGATGTTCGAACGTTAACTCTCAATTCTTGAGCGCTACAGGCAGTTCTGAACTCCTGTTGATATTGTTTCCCACTCTAGTAACCGATATTCGTTTGATGCCTGTGCGTAACGCAAGAATTCGAAACGCCATTTCAATCTCAAGACAATAGACCAATCCCGAAAAGATTGTCTGGGTTCGTGAAAGGGGGCACGCGTGCAAGCCAGCACGTGTGAAGTGCATCGTTTTGTATTCAGTTTGTGTGTGTCAGCTCATGGCGGAGGAGAGAGAGACTTTTGCTCGCCGAGCTGAAGCTAAAGGATTTGATGGAGTCCTGCCAGCAGCTAGTCAAAGGACTTTCGGTACCTTAGGCAGACCCTGACGGAGTTTGGAGGCCAGCTAGCTCTCGGTGAGGAGAGAAACATTTGCGTGGCGATCGACTCTCCGTAACAAATGCAAGCTACATAGCGCCGACATACTGCGACAGCTACGATTTCAGCTAACTAACTTCTCGATCTGCTGCTTCACAAAGTTCAACTATTTACGAATGTTGTAGTCTGAAGCTGGAGTCTCATCGCCCACCTACAGGTAGCTTTTGGAGCTGATGGATTTCCCGACTTGGACTCCTTCCGCAAACTCTCGCAGCATTACTACAGTGTATGCTGTGTTTCCGCACGCTCGTGTCGACATGTCACCTATATACTGTACATGTACCGGGTGGCGGAGGAGCTTGACGACCTCCGCTGATTCCAGGTTTCCGAAATACTGCCGTCGTCTTCGTTGATGTCGCTGGTGACATTCTCCCCTTGCAGGACGTGCGCATAGTTGTCGTCCCGGGGATAAAGACTATGACGATTGTTGTCTTTCGAAATAGTTCTTCATCACGGTCGCGCGAATGATGTTTCTCATCATGAACTCGTTCCGACACGGCGATGGTCTTTGGCGGGGCACTGGCTTGGCGAAAACGATATCTTCTTGTGCAATATAACATCGATGGGCTGCAGATGAGTACAGTCACTTCGTGGTTGGTCCCATAGGAGGGCAGCTGCCAGAAAAGAGGCAGGACTCATCGAAGACGAAACGCTCACAACAAACAATAGCACTCGAAATATCTCGTAAGATTTAGGGCCTATCGCTTTGAGCCACAGCGCTCTCAGCCTTGCCTACTTCATCAAAGTGAGCTCTACATGTTCGTTGACCTCTTCACACTACACAGAAGAGCGAAACAAGAATTATGTCTTAGCATTTCAACTCCAACAGCAGACCATTACCAGTGCGAGAGAGAAAACTACAAAGGGCTTTGCTTTCTGTCGCATCGTCTCTCTTGCATGCAGCTAACGAGAAAACCGTGTACTTACCCTCGCATTCACACGCGAACTATCAAACACGTCCTGTGCCGCATGCTGATCAGGTAGTGCCACGTATGTGTTGTACAGTGTACTCTCAGTTGACATGCCCCCTTTCGAACCCAGACAATCTTTTCGGGATTGGTCTATTCACTTGATGGTGATGACGAAGCTTGCACCGACACCTCGTCAAGTGGTTCGTGAGAGCGACAGGACAGCGGGAAAAAAAGATCGATCGCAGTGTTCCAGATTTGTGCCCCCAGCAACATCGACTCTCATAATAACTGATTTCAACGACATTGCAGGTACGGTACAAGTACTAGCCGGTTCGCTTCGAAGTAGAATGTCATGAACTTCGGATTATTGGTGCTAATTTCGGTGCAGAAGGTATCATTCATGCTTGCGAAGCACTTCGAAATATGAGTACTCAGGGCATGCGCTAAGGATGAAAAAGTGCTCTGACACAATGCCCTGCCAGTTGCAAAAATGGCTGGACATGTCCGGACATGCAAATTTTCACATCAAATCACACAATGTTCAGTGTAAAATTAATACCAGCGAAATGTTATCACGACGTGAAAAGAGCATTATTAAAATTGTTGTAGTTACTGTTTTACCGTTTTACCCGTTTTACCACTGCAAGCTTTGGCTGCTGCTGCGTCGTCAAGTTTGCACAAGGCTCGAGCTATTGGCGCATACTCTATTGGGTTTCCGCTTGACTGCTCCTTGCCAAACAATGCCATGGCTTGGCGATGCATTTCAGAAGCAGCATGATCTTTGAAGACTGACGTTTTCAGGTTCCTTGAGCAAGGAGTCAGAAAAATTCTTGCTGCTGCGAATTTTATCAACAATACGGGAACACATCTTACACTTCAAATTTTCGACAACGCTACGATTTGAGGGACTGCGCTCATAGCTCAGCCAAACAGAAGTTGAAAGCTCCCTATCATACTCGGCGACCCACTTGTCACAAGTGGTCGTCTTGACTCCTCTGGGCTTCTTTCCAAGAGGAGCACCCGCATCAGTGGTGCTTGGCTTTCTCTTGCCAGACGACATCACTTATGACTAGTACTATGAGACAAAGGATTGACGTGCCTTTTCTTTTTTGTACTTTGCAAACAAGTACGCAGACACTTTGTCCGGATGTTTAAAAACATCTGGAAACTGACCGTAAACGGTCGGAAATTGTCCGATGTCCGACCGTTTTTTCGCGCCCTGAGTACTGCTGTCCGTGCCTACTTCCAATTATCAAACTAATTTGTATGGACGTTGTACAGGCGGAAACCGGTGAATAGAAAATGTTCGAAATAAGCAGGACCTTCTAATTGCACCATATTCGAATTATCATTCTTCTACTATACTTCCCTTTTGAAGTTACCAAGTAAATTTTAGACGTACTTTGAGTCCTTCTCTTTCTGGACGATTGTACACTTTGTTTCACAAAATGATAGAGTTATTATTGACTATGTATGAACTACAGAAAATTGAGAAAAATGGGTCTAATTCACGAAGGCAGTGCACCCCGAGTTGCGGGACAACATCTTCACAGAATTTTCCTCAGCACAAGTAGAGGAAGCTACATGCCAAATTGGTGAGATTCCTATGGTATTAAAGGGGAAGTGCATCGATTTTTCGAGTAGGGTCCAGAAGGAAGACAATTTGATATCGGTTCGAATGACATATCTCTCGCTTCCATACAATAAGCCAAACTTGCCAAATCACCAATTGTATACTCACGTTGCCATAGCGACCAGCGCAGTGATGACGCATGAAAGGCTTAGCTCCATCATAGAGAAGGCCGATCACTGCAGAAATTTGTCATTTTTAATTGGTTTGTTGTATTCACGAAGTGAAAGAAGGGCTGTGTTCAGTGCTGTTCGTGCAGTGAACTGTTTGTTAGTAGTCCTCTTGGTTGTGTACTGGGACGTGACACCGACAGGAGAAAGCTGGAGTGCGGAGACATCAGCAGACAAGCGAAAATAGTGACGAACAAAATGCTGAAATCTTGGTTGGGACAAATCAGACGTTCAGCATTTACCCCAACTAAGGACCATGCCGTTTGCTCTTTCCACTTCCTGAAGATGGATATGGTGCTTCCTGGCGACTCTCCTATCTCTCGTAACATCTTCTGAAGCCAGATGAGACGACGGGTGGTGGATAATAGACGAATGAAAAAATGTCATAGGTTTGAAAGTTTACTGAACATGTCTCAGGAGAGAAGGCGAATACCGAGCATCTTCTCCTAGAGGAAACCATTTCCTCGGCACAGTCAGCCTAGGGAAATGCAGGAGAAGGCCGATAAACAGTCCACGGCACGAACAGCATTGAACACAGCACTACTTTCACATCGTGAATACAATAATGACCAATTTCTGCAGTGATCGACCTTCTCTGTGATGGAGCTAAGCCTTTCATACGTCATCACTGCGCTGGTCGCTATGGCAACGTGAGTATACAATTGGCGATTTGGCGAGTTTGGCTTATCGCATGGAAGCGAGAGATATGCCATTCGAACCGATATCAAATTGTCTTTCTTCTGGACTCTACTCGAAAATCGATGCACTTCCCCTTTAAGAAGCACGACTGACCTAGCCAACTGTACACAGGCACTTCTATATGTGTCATCCGGGGCGGGGCATCATCACATGATTTCAATCACCATTTACTTTGACCTTTAAGGTTTTACATGAAAACCCTGCACACCCCGTCCTCAAATATTATCGGTGTTGGTAAAACGAATGACAAGTCTGTTTTTGGACTAGCCCTTACCGATGATACTTGCTTCACCCAGGCTGTCTGTTGTTGGTCCAGTTGTTAATACATTTGCCAATGCCGCAGTTGTTGGTACATTGGTGGATGCAGCAGTTGCTGGTACATTGTGTAAACAAAAGACAAATGAACAATGTAACAAAACTCCTGTTCTTAATGGCGGTAGATAAGCGACAATTGCGATGAGCCGGACCAAGTATGAAAAGCATACCGTATTATCTCTAATATAAGCACAGTCTCCAATAATAGCACGTCTCCAATAATAGAACACCTTGGGGCGGCATTCAAAAAATAAAGTGCGCAGTCTCCATTATAAGCACACTGTGTAAATTCATTATCTATACCGGCGAAAAAAAACCCTGAAATGTGTGTGTCTGACATGAATTTGGAATGGAAACATGCCTCTGAAATGAGGTTGAAATAATAATGGAAAAGTCTCCAATAAAGGAACGTCTCCATTAATAGCACGGGGCGGAGGTACATTGAAAAAATAAAGGACCGTGCTTATATTAGAGATAATACGGTATGAATGCCACAGACATCACCCCGCAGCATGACAACTTGTTAAGGGTTTACGTACACTTACATCCAGAATCAATTTTGAAGCTTCTTGTCGTCAGTGGAGATAAGGAGCTAGAGCCATAAAGTGATTGGTACACAAATGTTATATACCCAAGGGGGTGATCGAACTGAGGTAAACGGGCCAATAGGGCTTGGACGCGATGATGTCAAAACGGCCAGGGAGTAGAAAGTTCCTGTCAGACCCACCTTGATTTTTTTGGCTAGGGTAGGTAACGCTGCTCTTTCTCTCTCTCTCTCTCCGCTTTACTGCGGAAGAGAGACCTTACTCGTCCACCAGCGGAAGACTTGGTTTATATTGAACACTACGAACGGTGGGAAAGATTAATTGACAGGCGTTTTCGTTAGGAAGTTTCAATGTTCGTGGCATTTCGTCGAATGTAAAAAGAAATTTGTTGAGGAGAGATCTCAATTCGTACAACGTCGATATCTGTTCCCTTCAAGAAACCAAGCTGAAGAACGGCCTCGACGAACATCACAGCGGCTATCGACTCATCTGTCTGGAGTCTGACTGCCGGCATTACGGCCAAGGATTTGCGATATGAAGTAAATTTGTTGAGAATATCAAATGCGTGCGGTGAATATCCGACAGAGTCTCTGTGCTTACTCTGCAAGCTGGCAAGCATTCCCAGCTAGCTTTTGTGAATGTCTACGCTCCAACGACGGCACGCTGTACGAGGAACGCGGACGAGCTTGATGAGTTTTACTCAGCACTAACAAGTGCACTCAATGAAGTTTGGAACTCAACACTCGTATTTATCGCAGGTGACTTCAATGCCAAGGCAGGCAGAATGAGAACTGTATTGGACAACGTGGGAGAGGACGGAGAAACGCCTCTGGAAAAATGTTGATAGACTTTTGTATTCATGACATGTTTCTTGCGAACACTGCTTTCGAACATGCAGCACGTCACAAGACTAAGTGGACTGGCTGGAGAAGAGATCAGCAGTCAGGACACACAGTCCCAGTCTTCAATCAAATTGACTACATCCTTTGCCGCCAGAGCCAGAAGTGTATTCTAACAGATTCAAGGAGCTATGGAGGTGCTGAGACAGGGTGTGATCACCGTATTCTGGTGGCAAGGCTTCTCCTGGGCAGGATGTACGGCATACTATACTGTAAGGCACCCACAAATCAACGCCAAGCCGCGTCCTACAACACCTCAAAACTGGCTGCTAGCCCTACTACCAGGGCTCAGTATTTTATAGGCGTTTCAATCTCGTATATCTGAGGTCTGGACTACTACCGATGCAGGTGATGCTGGCCCGTGTGGACTGTGGAGTGCTACTCAGAAAGCCGCCAAAGGAACTGCTGCAACAAGCGCGGGCTTGTTACATCCCACTCGCTACGGAACACGAGAGAGTGCTGAGATAAGACGGCTGTCACTGGAACAGAGAGATCTATGGCTGAGAATCAACCATGTGGAAACCCCGGGGACCAAGGCAAAGCTCAAAAACCAGCGAAACCAGATAAGCCATCAGATCCGCAGGACATCGCTGAAGGAGGCTGAAGAGCGCTTGAATGACAAGGGAAAGGAAGTAGAGCGTCTCAAAGATGGAGCGCCGATGTTTACAGCCGCTCAGCATAAGAGAAGGAGGAATGCTGTGAAGCCTGTGTTTGCCGATAAAGCAGGTAAATTTATCATCAACGAAAAGGAAGCTGCCACCGCTATTGGAAAGCATTTCGATACCCAACTCAACAATTCCAGCACACAGGCAGTTCCGTAATTTGACGGTCCTCCGCGGCCACTGTCAAACCCAATTACTTACCCTGAAGTTGCTAAAAGCCTAATGGGCGATTTGACAAAGCGGTCTAACTACAATGTCAACTAGTCAACTAGTCCATCACAATGTCATGCATGAGGAGTACTGTAGGAGTTTAGATTTCGGCTTGTACAATTCGTTCTCGCAAAGCTTCCCCCTTCTTAACTTATCTTTGATATTTTTGACCCACCCAAGTTGGGTGGTGTGCTGCTTTGCTGCTTCAAATTGTAGTTAGACCGCTTTGTCAAATCGCCTACTGGTCTCGTCATCGTCCAGTGACAATCGACATTCTTTGTTCCGTTGGGACTGTAGCTTGTGCTCGTTTTCGTTGCGCTTGCCTTCCCCTCTTTGGTCTTTCCATAACCTTGAACCTTCCAAGTTGGAAGGCTGTCGGTTAGCGCTACGGAGATGTGTTGAAGCTAGGTGTCAGGACGTTGAATGTCTCAGTACTCTGTCAGTTTTGTGCCTAGTTGTTGCACTTTCTGACTGTATATAGTATCTAGTTACAGTGGTGGAGAGTTACTCTTAACTCGTTTCCATATGTCCTTTTCCTTTCTACTTTTATTATTGGCTCAATACCCGAGTTCCATGTGGATCAAGTTTTGAATATTTAAATTTTTGCTATGCTGTGACGTAGCACTTTCCAGCCCTATAAAAGTGAGATTGAGACTAAAGATTGTGTGACAAAGTTACGTGAAGAAACAATAATGTGACCACAAAACGTCCCTACCTGTGGTGAAGGCTGGCTGTGTTGATACGCTGTGTGGCGGTGACGTACTATGGCATGTCACCACCAGCAATGCCAGCAGCAATATGCTGGAAAGCCTCCAAGCCTCTACACAGAGCAAGGGACAGAAGCAATGCATGTTGATGTGATGCAGTTTGGTAGAGAGTTGTTTCGAAGGCAGACTTGCTCCAGCTGCTTCACTACTTTGGCTAAAACCTGCTGAAGCTGATACCTTTACCAAAGCAGGTGATATGGTCACACTGGTAACATACTTCGGATTAAACTCTATCTCCAGCAGAGAGAATCAGTCTGTATAGTTCAATATCAAGAAAGCTGCCCCAATCTCCATCACCCCCCCCCCCCCCCGACATCCCCAATTCATGGAATTTCGAAGAGTAGTGTTCTGCAACCAGGAGGAGAAACTGTACAATAACTATTCTTTATACATTGGGCATACTCTGCAGTGCAAAACCAGGTGAGAGAAAACTGTGAAGAGTGGAGGAATCATGTAGTGATTGCATTATTCTTGGAGTCCAGTATCACCCCCTCCCCCTCCCCCCCCCCCCCCCCCCCCAACCCCACAACCTCCAGATTGGTAGCGTGGGGGTCATCGGGATTCGATGAATCAGGAGGCCGTAATTTTATTGAACCGCATAAGCCTGTCCAAAGGACGGGACACCCAATAATATTTGGATTTGCACGGTTGTAGGTTTGTTACGGGAATCTCTGCACTGCCACTTGGAAACTCTCCATTAATTAATTCAAAACCAAGCGGCAACGACAATAAATGAATTTTCTCAACCTGCAATCAGCAGCATGTGAAACGAATCGGGTGTTGGGTTTACAAAGCGGCACACCCCACGCGGCCTTACCTAGCATGTTTGAAAGGCTGGTCACGCTTGCTAACGCTCAGCCCTCAGGATCGACTCCAAACACAAGAGCGGTTTTCCAGGTCGTTGGTGCTGCCTCAGACGCTTATCGACAAAGCAGTAAATGCTGTATCGTCCAAATCAGTGTTATTGAGAGGACACGAATGAAGGATCACTACTGCTTGCGATTCGGAGAACTAAAGGCGGAGAAGTAACAGTTTCATCGCCACAAAACTGTTCCCCACACCATATTCTGTAGCTCCGACCGGATTGCGTTTCATAACAGCCTGGACGTAAACGACCCAACACGGAAGTCTGGTAGATCTACACCGTTGGCGTTGCTCCTTCAAAAACTCCTTGCTGGTACATTCATTGGCTGGTATCGCTTACGGACAGATACTGCCAAGTGAATGTGACAAGTCAGTCCGTGATTTTCGTGGCCATGGACATGGATAAGCGTACCTGGTTCCGCGCGGACAGGAGCTCGAGGCGAGCGAAAATATGACTGTTTAGTTTTTTCGTATGCTGGTAGTGCTGTCTGTGAGTTGCCATGTTACTCGCACCAGTGTCAGGCCGCAGTGGGTTACTCAGTGCTACTGCACTGCTAGTGCTAGACAGTCCTGACTGCTGACTGTTGACCACGGAAATTCGCGCTAGTAGTAGTGAGCATCGCCTGGCGCACTGTATCCTTGTATTGTAAATCATGCCTTGGGTAGAGCAACACGAAACGCCGCGGGGCTGTGCTCGAGAACCACAACCTACTGGCTAAATCAATGGTCCTCGCACAACGCTATAGTATAAATACCAGTATAAAACACCAGTATAAAACACTCCTTTTAGAGAAGAAGCCCAGAAACATGGAGAGTCAGAAGTTATCTCCACTTCAAAATGAAGATTTGGAAGAAATAGGACAAACTAGGAACAAGCAGGATTCGAACCCGCAATGATAATGAATACCAAGTAACTCCATTTACCACCCAGCTCCAGATGCTGGACTGTTGTTGCAACAGTCTTGTACCTAAAATATGCAACATCTAGAAAGAATCAATTTTTTATCACAGAGCACGTACCTCAGCTCCGGAAGAAGGGAAAACAAAACAAAGACAAAACAAAGAAGAACAACAAGGGGTGTGTGTAGGCGCTACATGAGCTGGGGGGGGGGGGGGGTCCAACGTGTTTGAGTGTCCGTCTGTACGAGAGATAGACTTTTACATAGGATAAATGCCTCGGTTTAGTTTTCATAAGCAATAAAAACAAGGTATGAAAACCTGGGCTGCGCCTCGGTTTTTATGCAGGTTTTGATTCCGGATAAAAACTCAGCCTGGACATTTATCGTACATGTACATGTACACGACTGTGTTGACCCGGCGCTGTGGCGTGGGATATGCAGCAGCGCCCAGGCACCACTTTCCGCATTTATTGTGGAGCATAGTGGAAAATTTGAGATACCCCACCCCTCCACATTGCGCTCTTGGCGACATTCACAACACAATACTCCATAGCGAGGAAATTCATTCTTGGGTAGATGCTGCATGTCTAGACAGCTATTTCGCTGACAGAGAGCTCCTCAGTGTACATGTAGATATCGAGCAGTGAATAGTAGATGAAGGAATGAATAATTATTTTTGATAGGGTAAAGGTGGCGCATTTGCGCCTTTTCCATATGGAAAGTGTCATACCCAAAGAAGGTGAAGGTGACACAAGTTCTAAAAGCGATAACGGAACGCAGAGTGCTCCTGGGACATGCAGACATATGGCGCTAACTTCTAGACACGCGCATGAAGAAGGCAATCTAGTAAAAAATCGCACTAACGAATAGCATAATACAAACTGGACTTAGTAAAAAAAAAAAAAAAAAAAAATGCCACGTGCACAACGGCGATTATGTGCTCATACAGTATTACTCATAGATTTCGGATCGTTTCTGAGCGCACAGGGCAAATCTACCCCTGGTTGCCTTGCTGTCATACATGTAATACATGTCTGTGGACAGCAACTGTATTAGCTATTTTGCACAAGTCCCTGCCTCAACACATTAGCTACACTGCGCGTGTGCGAGCAAGTTGTTCACAAGAAACGTGACAGTCAAGGGACGCTTCTCTTTCATCTGTTTGCCAGCAAGATTGGGTGAGTGTGCCAAGTTCAAGTGTGCCATTTACGTCTCTAAAGCGCGAACTGCTTACTGCTATGACAATTACATGTACATGTGCATGTATGACTGCCACGTCGTCTCTGACAGTGTATTATTACTATATTAGCAGAGTGCATGTGATCATAGCATGGCTTGCTTGTCAGCAAGATGACATGTTTGATGATTGTCTGTTCACCCTTAGCTTCCACATGTCACCCTGCTGGGTAGGGATAAGCGGAGTGTGCCGCATAATCAGGTCCTTTTTGAGAAGGAGCATAAAATGGCATCCGAAAAACAAGGGCAGATGCCCGATGAGGCTGTTATACACACCTGCTTTTGAAAGCATAGGCGAAGGCATAGTTTTTTGGCATAATCTTTGAGAAGGAGCATAAAATCATGGCATCAGAAAAACAAGGGCAGATGCCCAATGAGGCTGGTATATACACACCTGCTAATTGCTATTGAAGGACCACATCTAGCGCTTCTTGTTGATTTGGAATAATATTTTAGCAGCCACTATAGGACATCTCCCAAAAGTTCAGCGTTTGCTTGTAAATTTGGTAATCCTCTTGCATATGATTGTCTTGTACTTCCACAAAGCTCCCAGTCCACATCATGACAATGGTTTGAGTCATATTTTTCATGACGATTATCTGTTCTCTTGGTCTTTTATGGTGAAGCATATAAAAGCATAATTGGCTGTTTTCTCGAGCATCCTGCGAGCATCCGGTAGAGCATAGCCGGGTCATTTTCCGAGCATAATCCGCTTACCCCTACTGCTGGGACTGGATGAAAGAACGTTATTGAAAAATCCATGGTTTTGTGATCTGGAAAGAGGAATAGAAAATCAAGTCAACGCAAGCTCACAGGCAATTGTTACTGAGTCACAGTCACTATTATCATTATCAAAGCAGATCATTATTTCACCATAGCGCAACCACATAATTATAAAAAGCCGGCTAAAATTCCAGACTTTTCGGTGCTGTGACTGGATACTAGTAGAGGGCAGTTGCACTGAACACACGTAGACTTTTGACTGGATACTAGTAGAGGGCAGTTGCACTGAACACACGTAGAGTTTATAGCAAGTGAATCTTCGGTATACTCAATCTGCGGACAGAACTGTTTCGTCCTTTGTGGACTCATCAGAGCAGCACAGTAATAAGTGCAACTTCGGTATTATGTGCCACCAGCACGTGTACAATGTACATGTGCCTGTAAAACTGTAAAGCCGAGCTCGGAGGTGCCCTCGTATATCCAAGATCAAGTGACTGATCCATTGTCACACCTGCACTTGCTGAACTTCCTATTATTTTTTATTACCCATGCAAATTTTTCCAAAGCTTGTGCTATTTTTCTTACAAGTACTATTATATTCTTGTATCCTCGTTGCTTCACTCGAAGTGTATAATTCCTATTGTAGTTTCATCA